TGCAAAAGCAACGTTTCATTTTGAAATAATAAATAAACAGATATATATAGATATCTGCTGCTTTTGGTAAAATAATCCCAGGTGAACATGTCACAAAGGTCCTTGTTCAGATCCTGTTATGAAGTGACAACATTCTATCCCTGTCTCTCATACAAGGCAAGAAAAGCAGTGTGTCACTCCAGGTTATTCCAAGCTTGTCTGCTTATAGCCAGGTACTCATCCAGCTATTTTACTGAAAGCCACAATACAGGAAAATTGGATGAGTGCACACCAGCTATGTCTGAACTCTTTCCTTATTCTCTCATAAAAGCATAATGCAAGAGATGAATTGGGACCCTTGACGCGTTTCACGCACACAGGCGCTTACTCATAGAGTTAGTTTTAGTATTAAGCTTTTATGGAAGAATAAAGAAAGAGTTTGGACATAGCTGGCGTGTACTCATCCAATTTTCCTACATAGTATCCCTGTCTCGCAGTTGTGTCTTACATTCTGATAGAGATTACAAGTGGCTGTTTCAACACAAATTACGTAGCCATGGTCCTTAGTTGTCACATCAGGAAACCAAATTTGACAAAATGCCATACAACCATTGCTGGAGTGTATGCATGAAGACAGGAAGTGAATGCAAAGTGACTGACAGCAAGTGAATGATTCATTGGGGGTTAGGTACAAGCATTGCTGTTCTGAGGAATACTCAGTGGAAATGGCATCATTTGTAAAATGAATAGTGGTCTCCTAGAAGGGCATGTGGGTGACACAAAAAATGCCTCCCAGTAGCAGTTGTTGCCAGTCAGGAAATATCTGTGGACCCATGGGTACCAAGCACTGAGACTTCTAAATAAGTCTTACATTTAAGAGAGACACCTTTAACCTCATGGTCCTGTCTCTTTTTGAAACAGATAGTCTAGATTTTTGCAGTGAGACATTTCTCAAAGAATACACCAGCTAGCCAATTCCCAACAGCCAGTAGTTTGCAACCCTACAATAGGAGACAGTCTCTAATATGTCTCTCCTACGACAGGCAATCCTGCAAACTTGGGCCTCGTATTGACAGCAGATACTATTTTTCTCTTTTTCAGCTGTCGGGGTAAATCATCGCAAGGAATTACCATGACAAGTTAATATGTATAAAAGATAGTACTTTAGAACTTGTTAAAATGTAATGATTGTGAGACATTATTTGTTGTTCTTGCTTGAGTATACCTATCATGTTATTTGAAATCTATAAGAATTTGTATATGGTATATACACATCACTATTCAGCAAAATGATATTTCTGTAACAGGTAAAGATTTTAGTTTTTTTTATTTTGACATGTTTTGTGTGTTTGATGGATGACGCAGTTGTTTGAAATAAAGAAGTTACTATATGGCCATATACTCATGGGAGGGAAGTATGATGCATTTACGTGTCGTCCATTGCTGCTTTGGGGCATGGATGTGATCTCAGCACTACAGAGTGCTTTGATCTGTAGCTGGGATAAAGCCTTACCTTCCTTAGGTCCCCTTAACGCCCTAGTGTAACAGGTCCTAACAAGAGAAAGTGTCAGCGATGCTGGGTTAACATCAGCTGTATCAGCTGGCTTCCCGTGACGGCAGTCATGTCTAAGCCAGGATAAGTCTTTGATTTTGGGGAAGAGCTAAAGGAGTGCCTTGAAAACACTTCAAAGGCTAAATAAATATGACTAAGACAACTGTCATGGATGTGCTTTATTTCTAACAGCCTTTGTGTGTTTAGTGGAATGAAGACACAATTCTTTTCATCCACCGATTAAATGTTGCAAAATTTCCTGATTTGTTACATGTATTAAGTATAGGATGCTTACATACATAGTTACATAGTATTTGAGGTTGAATAAAGACATGAGTCCATCAAGTCCAACCTATTAGGATCTCATTCTAGGAGTACCTGTACCCCTGTATATTACGGTCCCTTAAGAAATCGTCCAAAAGTTTCTTGAACAATTCCACATTATTTGCTGAAATCACCGCCTGTGGCAGTGAGTTCCAGACCCTAACTGATCTTACTGTGAAGAACCCCCTTCGCCCCTTGTGCTGGAATTTTTTTTCCACCAATTTTAGGTGGTGGCCTCTAGTTTTTGTAATGGAGTTAATTTTAAACAGTTTATCGCTAATGTTGCTGCCACCATTGAACATTTTGTACATGGAGATCATATCCCCCCCTTAATCTCCTCACCTCTAATGTGAACATGTTTAAATTTAGTAGCCTTGTCTCGTAGCTCTGGTCCTCCATACCCCTAATTAGCTTGGTTGCCCTCCGCTGGACTTTTTCCAACTCAAGGACATCTTTTCTTAGTACTGGTGACCAGAACTGGACCGCGTACTCCAGATGAGGTCGAACCAATGATCTATAAAGTGGCAAAATTATAGACTTGTCCCTGCAATACATCCCCTTTTTAATACAGGACAAGACCCTGCTAGCTTTGTTTACAGCAGCCTGGCACTGCAAGCTACCTTTCAGTTTGTGGTCTACAATGACCCCCAAATCCTTCTCCATTTCTGACTTCCCTAGCGGCAAACCCATAATTGTATAACCCATTTGTTTATTTTTAATTTCAAAGTGCATTGCTTTGCATTTATCGACATTAAACCTCATCTGCCACATGAATGCCCACTCCCCTATTTTATCCAGGTCCTCCTGTAATGTTATAGTGTCTAAGTCCGTGCCTATTACCCTCCCGATTTTGGTGTCATCCGCAAACACGGAAATATCGCTGTTAACACCCTCCCCGATGTCATTAATAAATAAGCTTATTGAAGCTGCTTTATGTATAGGTAATGTTCTTTATATTTATGTGGTATAGATCTACTTCATGCTCATCTCTTGTATCTATTTCTCACGCTTGATCTGCTCAGTTACTATGCATGTCATGGGCGTAATTAACGCCTGTACACAGAAGTTCCAGTTTGTCCACTTTACATTGTTTACAATTAAGCTTTTAACTTTTATTAAGCTACAATTAACTGTAGACAATGTTACTATTACCCCTGTGATTTTGTGTTATTGTATTTAAAATACTTATTCAGATATTTAAGAATAGAGTAGAATGGTCGCTAGGACTGCTATTTTTTGTTTTTCTCCTTTGCTTTCTGTGCGTTTTAAACTTGGGTCTTGCTGCTGATCTGATCTTGGATAATGGAATTTTTAGCTACACTTCAAGGCTTATTCTGTAATAGTTAGCTGTCCATAGTTATGCTGATTTTTTTCTAGTGCTTCAAATGCAACAGATTCAAGTGATGGAGCTTATTAACAAGTGCAGTGTTTCGCAAAGTTTGGTCAGTTATACACAACCACCAAAAACTTTGCAATATTCCTGTGCTAGTAAAAGGAACTTGCCACTGAAACTTTTTTGAATAGCAGTGCTAAGAACACACTCCACAGGGCGCTTTAGTGTACTTTTAATTGTATGTTGATTTTCTTTCCATGGTGGCCCATGATCTCTTAAAGCTGACTGCTCTGACTTTGGAGTTCTAGCACACTTACCACCCTCCTATTGTTTAATGGGACATCTGTCTATTGGCTAGTGAAAGGTTGGGCTGCCAAGAACCTGCTTTATGAGTGCTGCCAGCTTTCAGGGGGTGCCTGACCAAAGTTTTGTACCGGGCATGTCACCTTCAATTTAAATGTTACCATGTAAGACACCCACCTACACTGCTACCACACAGGATTAATCTACGGCTCTGTTCACACCCAGGTGACAGCGTTTTTGCGTTTTTCTATGTGCGGTTTTGATGCATGTTTTTGTGCACTTTTTGCCCATTTTCAAGGGCGTTTATTGCGCATAAATCCAGGTGTGCATTTTTGTGAGCAGAGTGAAGTACATTAATATTAATGAGTAAATGCGCAAAAACACAGTTTTCAAGAGTTCCCTGTTGAGTCTATGAGCCAGAACGAGCTCTAATATGCCAAAAAATACTCATGTACTTTTTCAGCGACATGTGTTTTGCTCATTGCGACAAAACTCTCAGATGTGAACAGGGCCATACAAATTAATGGGATTTTGGGGGTGCAAATTTTTTGAGCGTTTTTTAAGGGCTTCCGTCTGGTTTCTTGTTGCTTTCTTGGTGCTGGAGCCCATAGAAGCAGACAAATCCATCCTTTCCAATAAATCAATGTGTGCCCTGCATTGCCTGAGGTATCTTTCAGTAGAGGGAGCATGTTGACACAAACCTGAAGTTGATAATAAGCTCATTGCACATAAATCCTAAACCTGATGTTCACCACCTACAGGAGGATGTGACCCAAAAGTACTATACATTCCACACTTTGTTAACTTTTATTACTGTTATTATTATTATTTTTGTTATTATTATTATTATACAGGATCTATTAAGCGCCAACAGTTTGCAGCGCTTTACAATATATACAAGACATTACAATACAATTCAAGACAAGATGGTAAAGAGGGCCCACAATCTAAAATGATTACTTTTAGATTGTAAGCCCTCAGGGGCTTCCCATCTTGTGTTGAATTGTATTGTGATTGTAATGTCTTCCTTATAAAGCGCTGCGCAAACTGTTGGCGCTATATGAATCCTGTATAATAATAATAATAATAATTACTGGTTAATGATAATTAGGCCATGGACAGAAACATAGATTTTGGAAACAAACTTAAAATTCTTCCAGGATACTGGACTGTCTCAGTGAGGCAGTCATTTCCTTTTCTGTAACAAAAAGGAAATATAATTTAATTTTGTTCTTATTATGTAGGGTTACACTAAGCAGGGAGCAAAATTAATATTCGGTTGTTATAGGGTGGGAAGATTTCCTAGTTGCGTATGATATTCAGTATGGCTGGAGAAACAACGCTTTTGATTGTTATAAATAGTAAACTCACATCACATTCTTCGGTTTTCAAATGAATGTACATACATGATGGGTAAATATGGTTAATGGTACTTTTGCTATGCACTATAGTCTAAGTATTAGTTGTTTATAAATGCAAAAGTGTTGATTTGTGTTCTTTTCTTTGCAGCTTCAAGAAGCTGTGCAGAAGAAATTAGAAGGGGCACGTTCACCGCTTAATGGAGAGCAACAAAATGGCATTTGTGACGGCAGGTATTCTCCATCTGCTAAACGGCGGAGAAAGGACATACAAGGTATGGACACTCTTAATAATATTTCAAATATGCCACTGCCTTCGGTGTCACCCCTTCACCAGCTTGATATAAAGCCACACCTACCTGTTACTAATAGCGTGACTCATTCGGGTGGAGCAGAGGACATGAATAAAAACGGTGGACAACAAGATGTAAAACTAGCAGTAAATGGTTCTAACGAGTTGGAGGAGAACTTTAATGTCATAAACAAAGAGATGAAACAAGAACCACTAGATGACGCTTCTGTTATTGACACTTCTGATACTTCTCTTTCCAACCAAAACAAGCTTTTCTCAGACATTAATTTGAATGACCAGGAGTGGCAGGAGTTGATAGATGAACTTGCTAACACTGTACCTGAAGATGACATTCAGGACTTGTTCAATGAGGACTTTGAGGATAAAAAGGACCTAGACTTTTCCAGGCCTACAGCTCAAACACCTATTCCTCAAGAAAGTGCCAGTGTAAAGAGTGATCCATCTCACTCTCCATTCCCACATGTCTCAATGGGTTCTCCCCAGGTTAGACCTTCTTCGTCTGGCCCTTCTTTTTCTAATGTGTCTTCTGTATCCAGTATACCCTCTGTATCCAGTGCTCCATCAACAATAATGCTTGCAGGTTCCCCTGCAAGTTGTGTTGTCCAGTCACCACAAACACCAAATCCACCTCATACACCAGGTCAGACCTCAATAAGACCTGGCAATGGCTATGTCATGACACCGACTTCTAGTTCAGGAAATGGGTCTGTAAACCTCCCAAGTGCTGACTTATCTCCAGCTGAGCAACTAAAGCAAATGGCAGCACAACAACAGCAACGAGCAAAACTCATACAACAAAAGCAGCAACATCAGCAGCAACAACAACATACAAACCAGCCATCCAACTGGTCACCTGTGGGGCCTCCATCTAGTCCATATGGAGGAACCTTTGGAACTGAGAAGCCAAATAGCCCAATGATGTATACTCAAACCTTCAACAACCAAAATACTATTGTACCTCCAATAGGAAACAATCCATCTAAAACCACTATGAACAACTACCTCCCCCAAAGCCACATGAACATGATAAGTCAGCAGACCAGCAATCTGAACTCTAACTCCATCAGCAAAACACCCAATATGCTCCATTATGGCAATACAAAACCACTGACTCATTTTAATGCAGATATGAGTCAAAGAATGACTCCTCCAATTGCCAACCAAAACAAAAATGCCATGCTACCGTACATACAGCAGCAGCAGCAGCAGCAGCAGCAGCCTCCTCCAATGCCACCACAGATGAGCCATTTGAGTGAGGAACAGAAGCGCATGCTTATCATGAAACAGAAGGGACTTATGAATCAGCAGATGGGTTATGGATCTCTCCCAAACCATGGCCAGGTAGGTGCTAATCAGAGTGGTCCTCTTAAAGTATTTGTTGTGGGTGTTACTTCATGCACGATTATTTTGCTGGTTTAAGTTTGCTCGGTGTGGCCTCCACTCTGACGTTTTACATAATAAATCAAGGGACAACGTAATGATTGGATCAATAGCATCCAACAGGAAATCAGCTTTCACTGGTATAATGTACAGTTCAAATCTTACTTCTTGGTTTTGGCATCTGTGTATCGTTACTGTATAGAAGGCCTATATCTAGAGCCGTGGTTCTCAACCCCATGTTCAGTGGGTCGCCATGTGCCTTCCACTGCACTATGTGAGAGGCTCCTCATCCTCCCCCTAGCGCAGCACTCTCAGTTATCGCACCAAGCAGCCACTCAAAATATGCTGCCTGGCACAAAGTCTCAGCTTGAGGTGAGGTGGGGTAGGATGGAGGTATGATGGAGGTATGATGGAGCTCTATCCATACATGCATCCCTTACAGCTCCTTCGTGTGCCCTGTAGAGGTGCCTGGACCGGAATGACCTCACATTCTGGTTCACGACACCTCTACATGCCACGCAAAGGAGCTGTGCAAGCAATGCACATATAGATGGAGCTCCATCACAGCACAGAAACCCACACTGGACCCCAAGCTGAGGATCCACTCAAATTCTCGTAAGGTAGGGAGACTGGGTGGATCCTAAAAAACAAAGTTTTACAATTTGTTTGGGAGTGTGTATGTGTGTGTGTGAGATTGTGTCTGTGGTTGTGTGTGTTTTAGGGCCTGTTCACACTAGTACAGTGTGTTAGTTAATCCTGTGGGAGGTGCATCGCGTTGCCATTTATTTGAATGGCAACCCAAACACACCTCCCTCCCACAGTTCGATCGCCCACAACGGAACGTGCACTACTGCGACTTGGGTCATGACTTAATGATTCATTTTGGGGACAGTTTGACATTATGAGGTTCCACAGGCTGAACCACAAATTCCCCCTCTAGTTCTCTCTAATGCAGATGGACCGGTCTATGCAGACATGACGCCGCGACCAACTGCAGAGGGTGTCGCGACCCACTTTTGGGTCGCGACCCACGAGTTGAGAACCACTGATCTTGAGCATACTTCAGAGATCAATTAAAATTTTAGTGTAATATACCAGTGTAAGTAAGAGTTCTATTCTTGAACATTTGCTATTTTGTGCTGCATTTTAGTTGCTTTCTTTGTTGCCAGAACATCTTGATGGAATATGCTATGTAGGTTGTATGCACATATGTGCACAATCTTCAGCGAATGCAAATAAACCTTGGTGTTTTTTGTTTGTTCTATTACAGTTTCATTTGCTTTCAATAAGCACAATGAACTTTCTCAGCTTTCTCATGTCAGGGGGTTTAGGGTAGTGGCAAGCGCAGTAGATAGTGTCAGAGGTGATTGGCGTCAGACATAGTGGTGACAGGGGGGATGTGCAGATGTGGTTGTGGGGGAGTCAACTTGTAGGTGCGGTAGTAGGAGTCAGCGAGGGTCAGGTGCAATGATTAGAAGAGGGACGTGCAGGCTTGGTGGTGAGAATATGGGGGAGCTCAGATGCATTGTTGAAAGCAAGGGGGTGGCGTGCACAGGCGCTGTGATGAATGCAAGGGAGGAGGATGTGCAGGTATGGAGGTAAGAGGAGGGAGCTGACATAATGTTGAAAGTGGTGGTAAAGAGAGTGGGATTGGGATGGGACTGTCTGCAGGCACAGTGGTGAAAGGGGTGGCAGTGGGCATGGAGGCATGATGTTAAGTAGTAAGATGATGCAGGTAATAAGGGGAAGAGAAGGGGATGCAGGTCAAGTGCCATGGAGGGGTGGGTTAGGTGGGGTCTTGTGACAGATGTGGGTTTAGAGAGTGTGGAGAGGGGAGAATGCAATGAGACCAGGGAAGATGTTGGTGGCAGCATGGTAAGAGGAAAGTGCTTTGGGCAGCTTACTGTGAGTATGCAGCCACACATGTCCTTAATGTTAGTGGCCGTTACCCCTGCTGCCACACCATTATATACCTCCCAGTGCTCTTTTGGTGGCACATCACTACCACACATGCGCAGCTTTTCAGGCATCATATTTCATGCGTCTTCATGCACCCGCACATGCATGTTATGATTTTTGATTACATCAGTATGGTGCTGATTTCTCGAGCATGCCCAGTAGTTTCGTTAGATATTGGCTGCTGCCTTGCATCCACAGGAAATTCCTGCCATATTAATGGCAGCATTTATCTACTGCATATGCATGGGATATCACATATTGATGGTGGTTTTTTTTCTTTTACCTCCACTGCCAATGAGTGATATTAGCAGCAGCGACCTCAAAGAACTGACGTCATATTGTGGTGGCATTTTGGCAGTACACATGTGCCGGCATCTACTACAGCAGATGTGCTTTCTGGCATATGATGTCAGCAATATGGTAGGGTGATCCCGCCCATGCACAGTAGTGACTGTAGAGACCAGTCGCTATTGCGCATTTGTGTGACCTCACCCCATAATGCTAGTAGCCACGCATCTTGGTTGATTTGCTACTGTGCATGGGTAGGGACATGGCTGTTGAATAATGCACATGAGTAGGGATATGGGCGGAATCTTAATGATGTCTTAACACCTACCCACCCGCCATATTGATACAGAGCTCAGACTGTATCTATGAGAAGTACAGGGGGTAAAGTTATACATGAAATGACAATGACAATTTTCAAATCAACTTCCCAAAAAATGTTTTCCCCTAAGCAACTAATACTGGCCATACACTGTAAAAATTTCAGCAAAAAAATTGTTCAGTGGGTGGCCCTGTCGCCACACTTTGGTCTGGCATCCTTCTATCAGAAAATTGATAAAGCTGCATTGAAAAATTTCAGGGGAACAGTGGCAGCGGCCAATCGGCTGCCATCACTGTTTGGGTATCCTGACAGCTGTGTTGTGTGGATGTGGGAATTTATTATATTTTTTTCGTTCAGCCTGCAGGTCGAATGAAAAAAATATAACAGTGTATGGATAGCTTAAGCTAACGCTTATCTTATGTCATTATTTCCACCATTAAATCTGTATTTTAACCTGAAACTAAGGAGGAAAGAAAAACACAATTTTACTTCCTGTATTCTTCTCTTGCAGTAACTATGGGATACAGTTACTATCTATATATATTGCATGCATACACACACACACACACATAAGTCTTTCCCATTACCTCTGCAGCCAGGTCCAGTCATCACAGAACAAAGCTAAGGTATAAAAGAAGATAAATGGCAGGAAAGCACACTTGTGACCCAGGGTTACTTGCAATCTCTGTCCATCTGATAAAGAGCAATATCGTGTTCCCTATCTCTATCCTCTTCCATTATCTTTAGGACTGTCAGGTACACAGCAGGATGGAGAAATCGGATTTCTTCCTGTGCTTACAGGAGGTCTTATGAGCTGTGCAGCCAGTTTACACTGCAGAATCTCATTACAAGCTGTTCTATGAATCACTAACATGACTTGCCAGGCTCAGAAATAAGTAAACAATATTCTGGACATAAGTCTGCCAATGTTCTCTTTTCATTTTTAAATGTGAGAGAAATCTTCTGTCAACGAGAATTTGTTTGACCAATTGCTGCATTATTGATATTATTGTTATTATAATTAGCAGTAGTAAGTTTTGGAAGTTTTGCAGACATAACATCAGTAGCACTATTACTGGATATTTTTGTGTTTTGCATATGTTCCTATGTTTCTAGAAGGGATATAAAGCTAAATACTTAGGGGTCTATTCACAAAAGGGTGAAGAGTTTGGAGAAGGCAGGAGAAGTGAACAATCTAGGACAACATAGCTGAACTGGAAATGTGAGCTGAATTGGAGAATTTTTCCAAATCAGCTATTTTGGCCTGGGTTGTTCACTTCTCCTGCCTTCTCCAAACTCTTCACCCTTTTGTGAATAGACCCCTTAGTGTTGAAGTGGACCTTTCAGTAACTTTACAAATGTGTATAAATAAATTTCTGACTTCAAAAATGGCACAGTTTTAACAATATGATTTTCTTAAAAAACAAAATAAAATTGTGCCTTTTATCATAAAGAATCAGTGACGTCATTTTGCCTAGGCTGAGATGATGGCATTAGTCTGCTGCAGGTAGGAAGACGCATTTTCATGGTCTCCCCTCAACTTAGAACATACACTGTGTATTGTATTGCTTGTTCAGTCCTGTGGGCTAAATAAGAAAAAAAACGCTTAGTTTCCCCATCCACAGTAAACAGAGTAGATGGGGGAATGTCCCCTGCTGGACTGTTGTATTCAGCAGCCACTAAATTGTATTCCAATGCCTGTGAATACTGGAACAGCATCTGATTGGATTCAGGCACTGTGCAGCCAAGAATTTCGGACTGTCTTCGACATAAGTCGATTGAAATATGGAGGGGTGCTGGCAGGGCCACACACTGCTTACATTTCAGCAGAAGGTCACAAGGGGTCTGATGAGTCAGACCTTTGTACATTTTACATTGTTGTGTCATTTCTGGACCCAGACCTTCCTGAATCCCATTCTAGGAAGTAGATGCTGGTGATAGATAATACCTAAAAAAAGATTACCGCACCTAACATAAAAAAATACACTGGCCTGGCCAAAAAGCTAGGCAAATAGGTATGCCTTCCATTGGATAACTAGTCAAGGTTCAGCAATGTTGTGTCCTCACAAATTAGGTCAGCTGCCTACCTAAGTATACTGAATGATCAGGTTTTTCCATCAGTGTATTTCTTCTTCCATGATGGCACAGGCGTATTCCAAGATGACAATGCCAGGATTCATCGGGCTCAAATTGTGAAAGAGTGGTTCAAGGAACATGAGACATCATTTTCACACATGGATTGGAAACCACAGAGTCCAGACCTTAACCACATTGAGAGTCTTTGGGATGTGTTGGAGAAGTCTTTACGCAGTGGCCCAACACTCCCATCATCACTACAATATGTTGGTGAAAAACTCTGGATGGAAATAAATGTTGTATAAGCTTATCGAAACGA